ACCACTTTTGAAAGAGATGTATCTTTGCTCTGGAAACTGTTACTGAGTATGGTAAAGCTGTAATGAAGTGCCTCTTCTAAAAAATAAAAAAATATATATAATTTAAAAAATGACAATAGGTTCGAAAGAACTGGAAATAGGAGTTCTAAAGATAGGAGAGGTAAGTTGTTAAGACACAACTTATGAGCTACCTATGATCTCAAAACTTGGAAGGGCAGACAGGATTGCTATAAGTTTGAGGTCAAATTTGGCTACATAGTCAGCCCCAGGCCAGCCAGGGCTACATACTGACACCTGTCTCAGAAAACCTGGAGACAGACAGACAGACACACATACACACACAGATAGAGAGAGGAGAGAGAAATAGAAAGAAACAAGAGACCTATATAACTATTTCAATGGTATTTGAAGAACCCTCTGTTCATATCACTGTTTTTTTTTCCTTTTTAAAAATGTATTTATTTTTATTTATTTATTTATTTTTGGCCCACAGAGATCCGCCTGCCTCTGTCTCCCTTATTTTTATTTTTTAAATAATTTATTATTATTTTACTTTTTTAAAACTTTTACAAAAACTTGAGAATTTCATACACGCATATAATATGTTTTGATCAAATCCATGACCCTCCAACTCCTCCCATTATCTCCCCATCACTTTTTTCTGATAACTTCATGTACTCTTTCTTCTTCTTCTTCTTTTTTTTTTTTTTAAATGGGGCTTTTTGCTACTTTAACATTCCCCCCTCTGAAGAGGTAACTCTAAAATCTTTTAAGGGTTAGATAAAAAAGCTCCTACATATTTTCGACATTTTGGGTCTTTGGAATCATATCACTCTTTAAATTAAAGAACTAGAATATTTAAATTCAATTAAACTCAGTCTTACCTCATCCAAAACATCTAGGGTTGCTAAATCATCTACATCCTTCAGACCAGAAATTACGGATCTGTTCAAGTTACCTTTCTTGGTATGAATACGTTCATGCCTGTGAAGAAAAGCCATTTCTGGTTAAAGAACTTATTACTGCTGGGTGTAGTGGTGCATGCCTTTAATCTCAGCACTAAGGAGATAGAGGCATGTGGAACTTTATGAGATCAAGGCTAGCCTGGTCTACATAACAAGTTCTTGGCCATATGGAATTACAGGGAGACCCCTGTCTACAAACAAACAAACAAACAAACAAACAAACAAACAAATAAAATAGAGAACTTATTACTAATTAAAGCAGAAACATATTTTAGATACACAGGAGACTAAAATACTCTATTATGCTGTTTATAGACTAAGTAATAGCTTACTAAAAATACCATAATATATTTGATCTTTAAGATTTTTCTCATTAGGAAACAGTAAATAATCAAAGGATTCATAGTTTTCATTAAGAATTATCCTTGAACCATTGGCAACTGGAAAGAAAAGAATATAGCCTTAAATTTGTTAAACACACAAAGTTGAGGGCTGGTTAGAGCACTCAGTTGTTAAGGGCACCTACTGCTCTTGTAGAGAATCTGAGTCTGTTTTCCAGCACCTGTGTCAGACACCTGTGGTTTCATGGGATCATATCCACACACAGACATATGCATATATATAATTAAAAATAAAATAATCCTTAAAATATGTAAAGCGTTTTCAATATTCTTATATGTGATTTAAACAATGAGGTGGAGCTTCTGAAAGCCTTAAATTCATTTGATTTGGGCCACTGACAGGGATACAGGAATACACAATAAATTACAAACTAATTTTTAAAATTTGCTGAGTACATAGGAACTAATTTCAAGTACTAGAAAGTGTGTTTTCTAAGTGGAACACTTCAGTGGCCTCCAAAATGAAGGTGAGAGCCCGGTGTGGTGGTGCACACCTTTAATTCCAGCACTCTGGAGGCAGGGTCAGTCAGATCTCTGTGTGATCAAAGTCAGCCTGGTCTACATAGTGAGTTCTAGGCTAGCTGGGGCTACAAAGAGACCCTGTCTCAGAAAAACAAAACAAAACAAAAACAAACAACAGCAACAGACAGGCTGAGATAGAACAAAGGATTGAGAAGTTGCCAAGATAAACATGATTTGTTTAAACTTTTCTGGACATTCATTTTGCGTTGAAGAGAGCTGTATTTTGGTGCTGATTTGGGGGCATTCTTTTAAACATTTGAATTTGTCCACTAGCATAAAGGTGAAGGAATAAATAAATGATAGCGATTATAAAGGATCGTAAACATTTCCTCAGAAGGCTACAATGGGAGAGTTTTTGTTAAGGACACAAATGGCCTTTACTCTGCTAATGCCAAGGCCAATTAAAAGCTTTCTTACCTGAGGGCCTGGCAGCATCCAGCAAACACCTTCCTGCGCACACTTGCTCTGGTTTCTCATGCTTCCCTCAGTTCCTTTCCTTATTCAATGATAACTCTTTCCAAGCATTTTCTTCTGATTCCTCATCACCAACCTGTCGCATTTCCACCTCCTAAACTTTAGTTCTTGGACCCGTTTTCGTCTCTACATTTACCTGCTTGTATCATAACTTGAACTATCATGTCTGTGCTGACAACTTTAGATGTATTCATCCAGTGGCTCATCAAAACTTCACTTGAAGTCTTGCAGGCAGATGGTACATCTCAAACCAAACTCCTGAAGACCCTGGTCGTGGTGACTCTACTTTTCTGATTACCCAGAACAAGAATTTTAGAGACATTCAAAGGGTCACTGTGCTGAGTTCAGAGGGGAGAGATGGTACCAGGGGGCTCACCTGGAAAGCTGTGGCAGTATCAGGAGGATGGGGAGGAGGTGGCAGTCCTGTAATTGTGACAATGAACCAGATGAGGTTTCTATCTGAATTACATGAGGATGGTGAGAAAAAGTCAAGAATGTCCAAATCCTGTACTTTTTCTTGTTGTTGTGATGGTTTTGCTTTGTTCCATCATTATTTGTTGAAAGAAAATCCCATCTTAGGAAATTCACAGTCTAATTGAGGTAATGGGCTGGCTGCTATGAATCTGAAGCCTGCCTAGGCTATATAGTGAGGTTCAATAGTTCGAGGGTAGCTTAAGCAATAGAGTGAGGGCCTGTCTCAATATAATCTCCATAAAAGGAAAAAGAGAAACCATAGAGCTACAGACTAGAAAATATTTACAGCAGGAACAGCACTTTGGTCCTATTTATAATCCTCTTTTTTTTTGTTCTGTCTTCTTGAGATAGGATCTCCTGTAGCCCCAGCCATCCTGGAACTCACTATGTAGACCAGGCTGGCCTCGAACTCACAGAGATCTGCCTGCCTCTGTCTCCCAAGTGCTGGGATTAAAGGTGTGTACCACCGGCTGATATAATTCTTAATTATATTTCTCCTTAATTGGTCATATAAAAATATTAAATTTACAATTATGGTCTTATTTGTATGGATGACTTAGTTAATTTTTTAAGTCTTTTACTAGAATGTAATTTCCTTGACTTATGAAGCATCTTTATTTTTTGTTGAATTCCATAAACAAACAGGTTTTTTTAGACTATGGTAGGTCTTCAGTAAATGTTAGCAGAATTAATGAATAAATGTATTCGCTCACAGGACTTTCACATAGTTGGTTTCTACATTTTCCAAATCAAGTGGGTATCATCTTATATATTCCACAATATTTGAAGAGATTAATTGTTCTGATATGTAATTTTTAAGAAAAATGGAGTTCAAGTTATTCATTTCAGTGAAGAAAATATCTGCATTTTTCATCATTTTTATGAGTCCATTTAGTGCACAAGGTGGAGAATGACCAGAAGCAGCTGGTGAAGAACAGGGAGATCTATGCTCAACTACTGACTCCCTCCCTCTCTTTCCAAGAAGTCATTTTCTAGAATGCTTTTGGTACTGGAGTCAAAAACTTAGGAAAAAGGTGGTTGCTAATATGCCTAATAATTCCAGATGGCATCCCATTTTCATAGCTGAACTTAAAGTTTTCCTGGCATGGAATTCGTGGCCCTCACAACCCTGCAGTCCCAGTCGTTTCAGCAACGCTGCCTACCACCACCTCTGAACAGAGCCCTGCCTCCCCGCAGGCAGGTATTTAAATGGCCTTGTGCTGTACCCACTCTGTTTTCTCCATCTGGAATAATTTCTTTTCCGTGCCTGGAAAATTTCTACTTATCTCTCAAAAGTAGGCCCAGATACATCCTCTCCATGGGGTTGTTACACATCTTGTCAGAACACACTAGTAAAACTAGCAAAACGCACACATTAAGTTACATCTCTACATGTTCTACCAGATTGTGAAAACCTAGTTTTTCATACCCCTATCTATGGATACAAAGATGCAGAAGGAAAGTAGTGACTTGAGTCTCCTCTCTTACCTTTAACATGAGATCTGTGTTTGCCTGAGCAAACTCTATGTTCTGAGCTTTGTTTGAGTAAAAAAGAAAATCCTCTAAATGAAAAGGTAGAACTGCTATCAAATAAAGACCTCAGTGCCAGGCATGGGTTACCTCTTCTTGAGTTGTTGGCTAGAGGGGTGCCATAGATCCCCAAACATCATGGGCTACTGCTATTGCTCTTGGTTACTCTCCAGAACTTGACGGTAAGACCCTATTGCTGAACACAATATACACTTGAGTCATAGAACATGGAAAAATCAAGCTGGTACTACCTGGAAGCTCCAACACTATTGGCTAGTTTTTGCAGTGCTGGAAGGTGCTATGCATGGTACTTGGGGAGAAAAGTCATCATCTGTCTTACCCAGATGTGACTCCTGTGAGCTACAATATTGACTGACCTAGCATATATGGCCACTGGCACAGTTGTGGCACAATAACTTTTTGAGTAAACAACCACTTTCTGATTCAATTTAAGGTCAACTTCATAAGACGAACCTTATGCCTGGTACTGTTAGCTGGGTCATGAAAGAACCTGTGGCTGAGTATATCATAGGCCCCATGGAAGAAGCTAATAGTATTGTTCTTCTAAATGGACATAGTATTAAACTTTCCCCTCAATACTTATCTTTAAATCCATTGATTAGTGCAGCTCTCAACTCTTATCAAAGAACCTTCATTGTGCAGTAGTTGGAGATTAAGTCAGAGTCCTTTAACTGGTCATGACACAGAGACTAAGAGACTGTGGAGTGCTCAGCTCTACAGGAAATGTCTATATCACTCTCCCTTCCCCCAAAACCCGGGGTGGGGAGGAGGGGATGGAAATATTGTCAGAGCCAGAGGCAGTAGATGTCTGCAGCAAAACAGTATTTGCTGGACATGACAGGGCTGTGATACATATGAGCTCACAGAGGCTGAGACTGTCTGCAGAAGACATGAACAAGATCAAGTCAGCCAAAATCCCGGCATGGATAGGAGAGGGTCTCACAAAGTCCCACCTCATCTGAGGAGTTATTGGCAATTTATGGCTGTTAGGGGAGGAAGATTCAGTTTTCTCAGGGGATGCAACCCTGAAGAGGCTACCCGTGCTCCAGTAGATGTTTCCACACCCTCCACAGGCAGCATTAAGTGGATTCAGTGGGTTTTAAAAAAAGGAAAAGCGCATGAAGTTGGGAGGGAACGGTGTTCGTGGACTAGGAAAAGAATTGGAGTGGAGGAGATATGGAGGTGGATTTGGTTGCACATTATATTCATGTATGAAATTCTCAAACAAGAAAATTTAAAGTGTTTATTTCATAATAATAATAAGAGTAATACCACAGATATTGCAGTAGTATTTTCTTTAGAACTTCCTTATATCTGTGTTTGTTTTAATACAAATGTGAATGTGCCATTCAATTCAACCCATGTTGTTAAGTTTAAGGCATTGAGCTAAATGTTGTTCCAGTCAATGAAGTTTAATCCTGTGAAATATATAACACAAGCATTTTAAAATGTGCAAGGTGTATAGCAAGTGTCCAAACTGAAAATAAGAAATAAAATGTTATGGAAATCTCAAGGAGAAGATAATTAATTCCATTCTGGTATGTTGAATATGGTCCTGAGATTTCATTGTGCATCTTGACTTAAGTAGGGGTAGGAT